AAAAGGGACATAGGGTCTCGCTCGGAACACACATGATTCTCATATTGTCCTAACTCTCCCCATTAGATGGTTGGGAGTGGGTGATCCTTGTTTGAGATAAAATCTGGTAAAGGTAGTTTTAATTAAAACAGGATTAGCAGCATAACTGTTGATGGCAATGGCATGACGGGTGTTATTTTATTTCTTTTGTGATGTACATTTCTGGTGCTAAGTTTAAAGAACACTCCTTTAAAATTTCTAGAGATATTCTTGATTGAGTGTTGAACTGTTTTAGTGGAACCACCTATGATGTCATCACTTATAACACAAAAATGTGAATATCTCTAAAACGAAAAAAGATATTCCAAAAAGGAAAACGCCATTCTTCTTTACTTTCAAAAGTCATTCAAATCAGCAGCAATTATTTTTTGCTTCATAGGCACTTTAAACAGCAATCCATCAAAGTAGTTAAACTTTCCAGCATCAGCCCCTTTGCTTGCTAAAACAAAATGCTTATGTTCTGTTCTCCACACTTGTGCTGAAATGTAGTGGCATCCAGTGTTGACTAAATTACTTGGCTTCACACTAGAAGTGAAGTTAGTTTCAAGTAAGCACTTGACTCATGATCAAGTACACTTGAAAATCTCCAGTTGCACTTTATAAAACTTGGCTTCACACCTGATGACAAAGTATGTTACTTGAAGCACAAGCTGTAAATCATCATCTTTTGTGGTAAAATTAGTCATGCATATCACAAATTGCGATTGCTCGCAAGTGTATTCATGAGGCCTTTGCAACAGAAAAGAATTTTTTGTAGTTTCTTATTTATTTTGTCATTACTTTTAACTCAAAGAGTTGTAACATTACAAGAAATGCATATGTACTTCCTTGTTAACTAGTACGTGGCAGCTACACAAAGAAACAAGCAGCATCTACTCTTGTATTTCTCTAGGCTGTTTCATGATCAATGCGGTAGGGCTTGGGCTTGACCTCATCTGCAAAATTGGTTTAGAGTGCTTTTAGCTAACTGAGACATTGATCCACTATGGAAAATGCATTTCCATGTTACTCATCTGACCTTCAATGCTTTGTGTGATCTGGTATGCTGAGACCTACAGAAGCAGCACACAAGAATGTGTTCACCTGTAAGCATCGAAGCAAGAGTTGCTGTTGCATTCTACATGTGGTGGCTAGCAACAGGAGATAGCTTCAAAAGCTGTGGACTACAATTTGGAATTGGGATGTCTACCGCTAAAACTATCTGTTCCGAATTCCAACTTTTTCTTCTCCAACCAAAAGGCCAGTTTATTAAGTTTCCACTAACAAGACGAGTTACAGGAACTGACGCATAAGTTTGAAGAGGAATACAGGATTCCACAAACAGTGGGTTCTATAGACCATTGTCACATTGAAATAAATGCACCTCCAGGTAACCACGAAGACTACTTCAATAGAAGCAGCATAACAGTGTCAATTTACTAGCCATAGTTTACTGCAACTTAAAATTTATTCATGTTAGCTTCGGGTATCCTGGAAACATACATGATGCCAGGATGTTAAGATTAAGTGGCCTCTTTGATTTAGGAGAAAATGAGCAAATTTTGACATCTCAAATGAAAATTGTCAGTGGTATACGTACAGAAATTCCCCCTCTTATTATAGGAGACGTGGCTAGCTTATTTACTGCTGAAGTGGCTTGTCAAACCGTATCCAAATAGAGGGCACCTTACACCAGATGAACATGAATTCAACAAAAAGCTTAGTGGTTTAAGGTCTGTTGTTGAAAAAGCATTTAGCATGCACAAGGGACGCTGGCGGTTACTACTAAAGAAAGTTGAGCAGTAAAACTGTTCTTGCAACATGTGTTACATAACATCTGTANTCTATTCCATAGAGTCTTCTAAACTCCAGCCATCCATTCTGAATTTTTTCATCAATCTCAGCTGGTAAGTTTGTCTGTCCGTTCATCAGAATTGTCTTTGAGTTATGAACGTTTCCTTGGTTACTAAGTAAAGCTCAAGTAAGTACATTTTACTTGGGCTTGAGACACAAAGCAGTTTCCAAGTGCACTTAGATTGTACCTACAAGCTCTGGTGTGAAGCCAAGTATTGTCTGTCATGCAATGGTCATTTGATAGGATTTTGTCACGCTTTGCCAAAAATGGATAAGGGAATATTGTATCGAAAGATTTAATAAGACGCTCAAAACAAACAATTTTATTTTAAAGAACTTTTTAAATTTTTTTCTGAAGACCTGGCCAAACAGAGTTGCTAGTGGATGTAAGGACTTGCGATAACCTACATTCACTTTGGTGGAGATCAATATTTACCGCAAGTCCGCTGAAGTTTTTCTCCCTTTGGCCACCCATCGGCAGCCAACACAAATTGATCACATATCATTCCTTACACAGATAATTGCAGCTAGCTCGCACGAGCAAATAAACGTGAAAGTCTGTTTGCCCTCTCAACGCAAGTCTGTACGCAACTTCCACTTTCAATTACTTGTAATAACTTTTGCCTAGAATTAGTGAGGTGTTTCGCTTCTATAGCTGGCTATTATTTTCTGAGAGCAATAAACTTGCCAGGAATTTTATTAATTGTTACAAATATTGTGATTCCTTTAAAAAACCTTTGTTGTGTTGTTAATATAACTTAAGAGGCACATATCAGTATTAAGCTGAAGAACACCATACCAGCTAGGCCTGAAGATAGTACGCTACCACCCATATATCACCACAAACTACAAAAGCTTATTAGAAGCAGAAATAACGGCTTTTCAATGGGATCACAGGCTCAAGCCAGGTTGTTACTCTGGGGAGAAGAAGGGAGTACATGCAAAGGCAAAATTTCGATGCAAATTAAGTCCTGGCGTGTTGTTGACTTTTCTTCCAACATATTCCTTGCACAATCGTCTCGTCAGTTTGTTAGTTAATTGGACAAAATAGTGAAACTACAGACTGATTCAAGAGGAACATAATCTCTTTTTTCTCTATGGTTAGTTATTGTAATCAGGAGCTCTGCTTTTTGGCTTTGCTAAATCTATATACTTATTGTATGACTGCTGCTAACAAGATGAGGCCCCATCTGTGTAAAGATTTGATGTTAACACGGAAATTATCAGTTCCTTGTAAACAAAATACCCAATGCCAAGCCAGAGTGAAAAACACACCCTATCTCACACCAATATGGTCAAAATCTATACCTTTTTCAGACATAAAAAGCTAAAATCCCATACCCTTTGGGGCCACACATACCTTTCTAGCCCATATGGGGGAGTAATCCCCATCCCCTTCCCCTCCTGAGCCCAAAACACATGAAAACACAGTTTCTCTGTTAGGGAAATTTCCGTAGGATGGGTCACGGTCATGCATTGGATTCTTTAACAATTGTACCTATCACTTTCTACGTGAAGTGTCGCAAAGATATGTTCTCATAAAATAAAAATTGTTTGTTTTCTACTTCTTATTAAATCTTTCGATTCATTTTTTGGCGCGTGACAAAACCTATCAAGTGACCATTGCATGACAGACAACAAACACCTCTACATATGTTTCAGCATGCAGCACAAGCGTGGAGAACAAAACATAAGCATTTCACTTTCGCAAGCAAGGGACTGATGCTGGAAGGCTTCACTACTTTGATGGGTTGCTGTTTAAGAACAAGGGATAGGAATGTGGTGGATTATCTTGGAGTCATTTAAGCTGAATGTCAATAAGGAGATGATGTACTTTGCTGACTCATACTCCTCAGGTCACAATGGTTTGTGAAGCATNCGCAAAAAATGAATTTTTCCAACCCTTGTGACCAAGCCTGCAGGTGGGGTGGAAAGTAGAAATACTCCAACTAGCTTAAATGCTGGGGAAACAGGAGATCAGCGCCGGGCTGATGGGCCACTAAGCTCAAACGTAGGCTTGGCCTTACCTTGATCCTTTGCTTTTGTAGAACTGAACTTCAACGCATGTCTTGTTAACTCAAGGCAGCCTGGCTTATCTTTCTTTACCTTTCTTTCACAGTGTGCCTGAACTTCCTTCACATCACGTTTGCATCGACTGCTTCCTTTGCCCTTGGTGTGATGACGATCTTGTTAATACTCCTTCTGAAGTGGTACAAGGAAAGAAACAAGCAAACCGAAATGGAGGTGCAGGTGTGAAACGGCTGAGACGCCGGACGCGAACCAATAGGTTTCAGAATTCGCCATTGTGCCTTTGATTACATTTTCTGTGTTAAACAATTTGAAACTGTTATTTCTAAATCACGCTATTGACGAGCTTTTGTAATTTCCATACTTTCAAGCTATTGAGTAGTTGTTTAATTGTTTCAGTATTAAGCTATTGATTAAATCACTGACGAGATCCAAAGTGTACTAAGCTATTGAGTAGCTGTTTAATTGTTTTAATATTAAGCTATCGATTAAATCACTAAGATATCCAATGTGTACTAAGCTATTGAGTAGCTGTTTAATTGTTTCAGTATTAAGATATTGATTAAATCACTGACGATATCCTAAGCTATTGAGTAGCTATTTAATTATTGGTAATTATTTTAATTATTGTAGCTAATTTATTTCAGCTATTTTTTTTTATTATTATTATTATAGTTTACTAAGCTATTGAGTAGCTATTAAATTATAGGTAATTATTTTTATTAATTATTGTAGCTATTTTATTTCAGCTATTTTTTTAATTATCATTAGTTTACTAAGCTATTGAGTAGCTATTAAATTGTTTCAGTATTAAGCTATTGATAACATCACTGACGATATTCAATGTGTACTAAGCTATTGAGTAGCTATTCAATTATTACCTATCGATCATTGATCATCAGTGTCATTGTCCACTAATCCAATGTGGTGTAAGCTATTGAGTAGCTGTTATCATTGCACAAGTGATTAGGAAACTAATATCATTGTATTGAGCTATTGAGTAGCTTATATCTTTCCCTCAAACTTTTGAGGAGCCATTATCATTGTATAAGCTAGCTATTGAGTGGTAATCATTAGTTGAGAATCCACTTTTATGAAGCTACTTGTGCTGACGCTGCGGACAATAATTGATTATTACAACAATTTTCAAGATATGTCATTTATGAAAACCCTTTTAAAGGATCAGTAATTAACGATGTGATCAGTTAGAGCTGTTAGGTGTTACTTCTTACTGTGTGCTACTGTGGAAATAAAAGTCATTGACTTAAAAAAATTCTCTTTCGTCGTCATTTCTCTATTCGGCAAAAGATCGATCGCCAGCAAGATTCTGTCTTCGTTCTCTGTCAAATGTGAGATTTTGATCAAAACATTTGAAAACATTGCATTGCCCGCCACAAAAACACTGAAGTTTATAATTCGATAGTCGCGCATTTGTGAGTGGCACCACGTGAAACAAGGCATTTTACCGAGAACCCTGAACATATTTCTAAGCACTTGACTTTATTAACTTGATCAAACTCCTCTTAACAAACATGTAATTTCAGTCGCACAGTACAATTTACAGTGCAGCGCGCCTTAACGTAGGCTCGATTTCCCGCCGTTTTGGGAGTGCGGTTGTTTATCCTCCTCCCAACGAGGAGTGGTGCGGGGCAAGGAACGCGGGCTCACTAAACGGCTGGAAATCGAGCCTAGCCTTAGCTTAGCCTGTGGCCAGTTAACAAATTTTCCTACAAGTTAGTCAATCAGGATGCACGATAAAGGGGTTTGTTCAGTGGAACACCAAGACTTGGCCCATGCTGTTAGCTGAAGTGGCCGAAAAAATTGCGTTTTCAGTCTGTTCCAAAACGAGTGTTTGGTCGATTCGTCGAAATTCCTTGTAATCAGGAGCTCTGCTTGTAATGGATCCTTTTCGCCAGGGCCTTTCTGGGGACATACTTGCAAGAGCCTATAATGGGTCCAAAACCTGAACAAAGGAGTTTCGAAGACCATCCCGTACGGAGACTAGTCTTTTACACTTTCCCCTTCTTGCGAGGAACATTATGAGAGGGAGGGAGGGCTATGTGAGAGTTAAGACCTGACATTTTTTGAGTTCGATAAGGAGAAGGAATGAAACTTTTTCAACCCCTCGGGCGTTTTATTTTCACCCCACGTCACGCTCTTAGATCTACAACTACGTGCTAACAACAAGACGTTTTCAACTTTTATTGGAAGAAATGATTCAGAGATTTTAAAAAGTGTTACTACCCTTCCCATTAGACCGCGACAACCACGATTTGCCGCCTTCAGAGTAATTTTTTTGATGTCACGAGCCTTTTTCAAACCAATCACGTGATATATCTAAAACAAACTGATTGGTTTAAACCAAACAAGCGACATAAAACGATACTCTGAAAGCGGAAAAAAAATTCGCGGGCGTGGTGGTCTACTGGGAGGAGTATATAGTACAGTATGGGGATAAGCCTCGCGTAAGTTCTTTCAAAGCCATAACCTATAACAACCTGCTATCAGACTCTCAGTCTCTTCCGCAAAAAAATAGGCAAAGGGATCGTCGTAAAAGCTCTATTCAACCCAGAAAGGCGGCCATTAAGTTAGACGATACAATACACTGCTTAGCATGACCACTGGCTGACTCGACTATTAGCAAACTGATAATCTGAGAGGCTAGATAGAGCCATCAAGAAGCACGTGAACAAAGGACCACGCGAATTTAGTTGAAACACTTGCAAATGTTTCAAATTACGATCATAGCAACTAGTAAAAACTTGTCAACACTCCCAGCTTTCCCCCTTTCCAATGTGGAAAATTGTGTGTCAATTCAGGAGTGTTTGTCACCGGGGTGATGATTTCAAATTAGGTAACTCAGGGATAACTTCGCCCAAACTTTGTCCGAGCACTGTGCATTTGCTGCTTACTAAACGGACTGTTCATAATTGGTTGTAATCGTCCGTCGCGGCGTCATCTTCTACTTTCTATTTTAGAGGAAATTTCGGTTTTAAGCTTTTTTCTATTAAAATAACACTCAATGAGGTATATTTCTGCCAAAGCAGTCACGACACACGTCAAACTGTCAAAAAAACAATGCCTTTTTTATAAATGTACTTGGAATTGTTCAAAATGCACTCTTCTTGGCCAATTTATATTCTAAAAGTAACTTTTGGGATCATAAGACACGATTTCATCAGTTTGCCAACAGTTTATGTGTTATGACGTCATTTTGACGTAAAACGTACGTCTTTGAATCATTCTATTTTAAACGGCAACTATAGAAGACATCATTATATTATAATCGCACTCGTCCAGACTAGATAAAATGTCTTTGCCGTCAACATTCGTTTTCATGACAACAATGAAAACGGTCTGAATTAAGCAGTCTATTGCTGAGCTCTTTTAAATCTAAATATGCTTCTGGCCAATTAGTAACAAAAGGCATTTTGACTATTTTAAAAGTACAGTTCACCCCCGCTATTTCGAAATCTCAGGGGAAACGAAAACTTGTCGTTCGAAATAGTCGATAGTAAATGACATATTAAAGCAAATCCAAAGGGAAAAGGTATGTGTTCGAATAAAACGGAGAATTCAAAAAAACCGAGTTCGAATTAGCGGTGTCCAACTAGATGCGCTGCATGGTTTCAATGCCACTTTACTTTTAAAACGGAAAAGAAAAACACTCAAAATGTCCGGCAGTCAGAAGCGGAAAAAATGCTTGTTTGGTATGAATTTCCGAAGTAAAGTGTCCCATCCAATATTGCTAAGAATTACTCATAGCTTAGTAAACGACACTTGTGCTCAGTTCTGAACCACACGGTGAATAACTCATAGGCATAACAATAAAGTAACTCATGTAAGCTCGCTTTAAAAAGGATTCGTGCTTACTTCATTGACTCAGCAAGTTGAAAAGTGTGCTAAGAGGTCTTCGGTACTCGTGGGAAAGATTGAAAATATAACAAACGGTATTTGGCGTGCAATTAGGATAAACTAAATCTCATAAAGCAGAATAAATGGCCCCCAGTCAAGAGTAGTCATATTTCCAGCTGAAACAAACAAAAGATGACGAAAAAAGAAAAACCGTCGTTGATCTCTCTCCACTTCTCATTGAAAACTCTTGAAACCCGCCAACTCGATGACGTAAAACGCTAACCTCGATGCCCTGACACACAATTTGGGAAGCAAGAATTTCCAAACAAAAGAGCGTAGGAGACTGATCAAATCACAGCTGGAATTAATAAGGCAATAATCGGCCTAACATTTGAACCGTATAATTATCAATGGCCTTCATGGGCATAGAGCGATACAAAGTCCTTGATGCGAATTTAATAATTTTGTTTGAAATCGCCTTGGGCGTCAAAACAGTCAAAAGGAACTTGTTTCCGAGTGACCCTGTCACAAAAGAAAACCGCCCTTTGCGGAGAAAAAGAATTCCATTCTTAGTGGTTTGCCATCTCTGATCACAAAACGTAACATCGTGTATTGTTTTTAAACAGAGTGTGTGACGTTCAAGTGTCTTATGCTAATAACTTGGATATCTGGCATACTTCTCACACAAACCGAATGTATCGACTAAGCGAATTGTAATGCAAACGATTCCGCTCAACGCGACAGTGATTTTCGACGGCTTGTCAAAATGTCTATCGCTTTGTTTCGTTGGTTAACAACGCAGAGAAAAAGACGTCAGGAGACAAACTGCTGCTTGGTGTACTGAATCGAATCACTATGGGAGAGAGAACACCACGACGGAACAACAATATCGTGTTATCCGCACAACAGCTCGACCATAACGCGAGCAAAGCTCGTAACCTTAACAAGAGAGCGGGCAATCGCTTGAGGCTCCGAAAGGGCAGCATTGATGGACACCAATCCACTAATCTGCACTCGCTTAACTACGAGATGCGTCGCCTTAAGCACGAGTTGAGAGAGATCACGCAAACGTCGGGCACCTTAGAAAACAGCGAAACAATAACAGAGCGAACAATGCCGGGCAAAGCAGGCGCTGATTCAACAAGAAGAAAAAAGTCCAAAAGAGTTGCGTCTTTAAAAAATAGTGATAACTACAACGGCTTAGGTTTAGCTGGAAATGCGCTCACAGCTTCGAACAGCGAGACGCAGACGATATCGAATGACCCTTCGCGACGAAAAAGTTTGTCGTTACCAACGCTACCCTCCATGAGCAGCACTCTCCCGCAACTCACGTCTCGGACTGACATTTCACGGGTAGAGGAGGACGCTACCCAAGACTCATTCACCACGATTACTTCGTCAAAGCCCAAGGAAAAACAGAGAAGGCAATCACGCGGAAAGCTTAGCCTTGATGTGTCGCCGGCCGGACAAAACCCTAGACAATCCACCGATAGAGGTACTGTAAACGTTTCTGTCACAAATACAAACGGAGAAACCGAACGATTTCGCCCGGTCTCGCAGGCCGCTCCCAAACTAGATACTTCGCTTGCACAGGTTAATCTCGACGCTGTCAAAGACAGGATTCAAAATAGACTCTCACAACCCGCAAGCACGAATCAATTGATGGATGATGAGGATGACGACCCTGATATAACACCGTACCTCCATGTTCCCCCAGACGGCCTACCTAGAACTGTATACCTCTTACCACCTTTGACTGATCTCCTGCAAGAGGCAAAGAAAGCCAGGTACCTTCGCAGACCCAAGAAGCCTCTACAAGAGGTGGACATGGACGACCCCGAGAGAGAATTAGGAATCGACGAAATATTTAGCAAAAAAGGATAGGTGGGCAGCGCGAGGTTGCAACTTCTGCTCGGAAACTTCTGCAGATCCAGCTGTAGTGTCTCGTACAAATTGATTTATAAACGTTCACAGACAAGACAAATTGATAGCCGTTGTAGATTTGATCAAACCTTTTCGTGCTCTCCAAACGCAGTAATGTTAAGCCTGAATGCCACGGATCTCTTCGAGTTTATTTTCACGGCTGATATTCCTCGCCGACTTTGCGCAAACTTTGTCCAAGGTAAATGTATTCTTACTAGTTTTTCAAAGAGAGCTCGGGAAAAGATCTTCTGCAAGATCATTAATTTTATTTTTAACTTTTATTACTATAATGAATATCTCATTTGGCTGGCGATAAAACGGAACAGCATTTTTCAACTATTTTTAATTTGTGAGACGGTCACGTCATGTACAGAGTCCACAGTCCAAGGGAAACCGCTAGTTGTCATCGTCGTGTCAGTTTAGTCATTGCGACCCAAGTCGTCTGTCAAGGCAAGACATTAAATTGCGTGTATGAAAAGTTGCGAAATACATTTTGGTCTAAACAACAAAGTAGTTCGTTTTTTTTGTTCTAAGTAAATATTGACCGTCTCGCGTTATCTTGGCAGTTTACACACAGTTTCTTTAGACTCCATTGTGAACGTGAAGATCATCAATCAAAGCGTTCATTAAAATTCACAAACATCAAAATATTGTGCAAGTGTCATCTTTTTAATTTAACAGTCGAAGAGAAACATGTGATTTGTTTTCTCCACAAACAGAAAATGAAATGTTATCCTGGTAATCACAAGATTTTTTAACAAAATAATGTTCAATTTTTCGCGAATATCACGGTAAAAAAAACGTACATAAAATGTGCAAAGACTTTTAGACGAAAAAAGCTAAATTACGAGTGTTCGTCTTTTAAAAAAAGTTAAATTAAATTAAGGCTATAGGCTGGACGTCGCTTTTCTCTTGGTCAGTTGTAAAGATTCTACACATGATGCCCGCGAAAGCTGAAAAGTTTAGGTCATTAATTTAAGCAACGTTTACATTTTCTACTGATCAGACTATTGAACGAAAATTTGCTTGAAACACAATAGTCCAATACATTGAAAGTTAAAAGAATCTATGTTAAATTGCCACCCTTGAGATTCAATAGGCTATCCGTCTTTCAGCTCAGAAGTCACGCCGGAAGGTAAACACAAGCTCTTGAACAATTAACACCTATTTAAAAAGTCTTTTAACTGAACAAAAATCCGCACACTTGATTTCTTTTTATCTGAGTGAACTTGTCTTAAACTGCTGGAAAAACTGTGCTCTATCTAGAAAAAAGCCGGTACGTGATTCAAATTGTATAGAATATGAGGCCATTTCTTGTATCCTAGCTTCCCAACGTGATCTCTTTCGGCAATTAACGCCTCGGTAAAATAAGCCACCTAATTGATTGTTCACAAATATCCACACTCAATTTGTTAAAGATTGAAATACACGCAAACGTACAAAAGAAACGGAAAATTACAATCTGACCAACAAAAAGACCAGCAAGTGACTTCAAATGTGCTTGGAAAAGCTATCATGTGTCTATAAAACTACTGGTAAAGACTCGTTCTCCACAGAAACGTCCTAAATACCTTGGTTGCTGAGGTAAGCCAGTGATATATTTCGTCCACAGTCGGATTGTCTAGGGAAAATTAGTTTGTTGAAATAATTAAACAGAACCACTTGGTCATTAAAACGAGGAAAAGTATTAGCATTTGTTTTGCAATGAGCCGGTCTCGGATGTATCTAAGCTTCAGTTGATTGTAAGGAATGATACCGGTTTCGCCCCATGGCGAGTTCGCCCTCACCTAGTTCGCCCCCACTATAAAATTTCTATTTCGAGTTCGCCCCCAACTTTTAGTGTTCGTGTTTACGTAGTTGTTATCGAGTTATTAAACGTTTTCGAAGAACCATTTCAGCCTATGTATGTTTGATAAGCTTAGATGATGATTGTTCACTTGTTGCAGCCGCCGCGCGCATAGCAACAAAGTCAAACAGTTACCGGTTATCTCGCCACCAACGAACTCGCCAAGCAAAGTCACCTCGCCACCAGTAATCTAATAAGGCAGTGGATAAAAGAACGAGGAATAATCTCTATATACGACTCGATCTGGTTGGGGCGAACTCGATCAAGTTGAGTTGATGTGGGGGCGAACTCGGTGGGGGCGAACTCGCCATGGGGCGAAACCGGCAGCTACCATTGTAAGCATTACCCTTGATTGCGTGCATCGAACTTTCACCTAATTTAAACATTAACGCACGGAACACGACAAGCCTGGGTCGCATCCAAATAAAATCGCACGCATTTTTAACGTCCCCCTAAAGTCTGATGCTTTTAACTATAATCCAGAGGAAAGATAATCAACACTTGAAACGATAACAATCGGTATCCGCAGATCAATCCTGGCCGACTGACGGTTGTACAGAATACTAACGAATTCCGTCATACAAGACTACAGGACTATTTAACGATAGCGGCCGACGAAACATAGAAAACAACAAAATATAAATTATTTGATAAGTTGATATTGAGTAGATATCGGTATGGCCTCCTAAGCAGACACTCTTTTAGCCTCTTCCAAGCGTTCAGTTAGTTGGGACACAGCGCGAAAATGGCACACGAAAAATGGGGGAGAAGCGAACCCAAGCCTTTTTCTCCTCTCCTACGCTCCGCCGTTTTTTCGCGCTGCTCCCAACTTATGCATCAGTCAATTCCAGCAGTGCCCATCCCCCCCGGGCTAACCCCCGGGCATTAGCATTTTTTTAAAAAAATGGGCAAATTCCCTGGGATGGGGAAACATAAGCTGTCTAAATGCCCCAGGGTGGGGACGAAGAAAGAGGGCAAGTGCCCCGCCCCCGGGATCGTCGCCTTCCAACACATCCGCAGTTTTTAAATTAATCAGTGAATAAAACGGTCAACTGTTCAGTATTTTAATGCAACGGTAAGACTTCAAGGACAACAGTACGTGTTAGTTGATTCTGAT